GGTTCGAATCCCGTTGAAGCCCTGAATTTTTTCAGGCTTCTTCTTTCCAGTTGCTTAAATTGGAAAATTTACTGCGATGATCATACTTCACTTTCGTAACAACATACTGCTAGCAAAATGTAGTTTACAGAAATGAATGAAATTGAGAAAACCTGAGAATTAGTAATAATAATAATAATCATCATCATCATCATCATCATCATCATAACAATTACAATTTCCTCAAATGTGATTGGTGCATAAGTTTCTGTATTTTGCTCTAAGTTGTAATTGGACAGTGTTATCGGACAGTTGGCTGTAAGCAGACAGTTACATGAGGCAATCATTTTAAGTCCTCTCCACTAAATCCACCATTCACAACATTGATTACAATCACTATAGTAACCAGTTCAGGGGAATTGCAGAGATTTAATCTCCAATTACTGTTTTGAAAGAAGCTTGACAGCCATTTTGCAAGCTATTCTCCATATTTTTAATTACATGTATGATATTTAAAAATGACTATTAAAAGCTCTTTTTCAATGAAACTTTTACTTTTGTGGGAAATTGTAATGGTTATGATTAATTTATAAGTTCTGGAAATTGTGTCATCCAATTCTGTCTGTAATCATATGTGAGATTAACAAATTGGACTCCTGCTTCCCGTTCGTCCAATTTTGTTAATCACTCTTTATGATTACAGACCGAAAAACCTTATGTCATACAGTTCCGGGAGTGATTGTGCTCTAATCTATAGTAAAATTGTCAATCGCTATTGGTTCTCCATGCGCCCTAACTTGTTACATACATATAATATTATTGCCCTGCGACCACAGGAGTGTCCAATTACATATATCCAATAACAATTTTTTGTAACTGGATACTTGAAATTACATAACTATGCCATTTGCCTGTCAATTACGCACACTTTTATGGCTTCCTTCTCAATGTTTCCTATAGTTTTTGAAACTTATGGAAAGCGCTTTATTATAGATAGGATTAATTAGTAATTGGATCTTGTGTCGTACAGTTCAGCGAGTGATTGTGCTCGTAATTTCAAATCAGGCTCTTGCTTTGTTCCCTTGTGCTATTGAAATTACTCATGCAATAAATGTTTTTACTCCCCAAATTACACTTCACTTGGTACAATAATTATAACTTCATTGTATTAGTTATGAATTTTTTTTTTATCAATATCTTATCAACCATATGAGATGCTGCTGTATTGTGTTAATTTTTACTGTTTAGGAAAAACTAGTAAGATGTTTTTTGTTACTCTAAGAATTAAAGAGACTCAGTCAGTGAATATTTTTTATTGTCAATGTTATAGGTTGTTTCATTTCATATGAAGGAGGCCAGCCCACCATGCAATGCATGCATGGTTGGAATATCGGTCAAGCTCCTCACGGTTATTATTACTATTACAATTCGACGACACAAGGTAACTGACAACCACATCTATATCAACCTCACCTGTAGCCTTGATCGTCACTCCTGTAACAAACCTGTTACTTTATGGGTGAATCGAATCAACAAAAGGCCTATTAAGCATACTCAGCCACAGCGGGTATTATGGGTTACGACCTTAATTGACAGCCCTGAGTGTCATGTCACTACATTCTGTGTCTGCACTACATTTCTGTTAACATCTCTGGTGTCTCTAATGTAGGCTTCTGAAAGGAATACCATTTTCTATGGAAGGAACATGGATATGAAAGGTTTTTTGTTTTCCTTCAAAAATGGTTTATAGCTGGGCATAGGTTTTGACCTCCGGACAGTGCCTCAGGCAGTGCCTTCCCCTTCAAAAACATTAGTTGAGTCCCCATTCCCCCCACCCAGCTCTAGCTCTACCAGAATGTAATGCAATGTTTGATGGAATTATTTTGCCTCCAGCATCCCAGTGGGAGTCGCCTTCTTGTTTGCCTTCTCCGACACAGGACAGTACAAGGTAATACACAGTTTAACATTTGATTGTAGCCAGCTGTGGTGATTTCTTTATTAATTTTGATGCTTCCGTTCAGTGTAAATTGGCAATAATATTTACTCACTTGATTAATTTTCAGAAATTCCAAGGAAGAGAAAGCAGGCAGTGCAGAGCAGCAAGCTGGTATTCAGAATGTAGGTATCGTGTTACACAGTGACGTATATTGATAGAAAGGTAAATTTATTCATGGTTAGTCTGTATACCAGTTGCTGGGGTAAAGTGTAGTAAAGGTTACATGGCCCATGTCACGATTATTGTATGGTTTTGAAACTGATTGTTGCATACATTGCAAGCTCAGTTGTAAATCAATGATAAAGCTTGGAGACAGAAAAGATATCCTTGCATATCAAAGCAGTTTTGTAATGATTGTAGTGAAGAACCAAGACCACTTTTATTGTTTCATGATTTTTTTAGCAATCTGATCAACCATGTGCGAAGCATGTTTTCAAGAAAGACGCAGATCTATGTATAATTTCAATGGGAGTTTAAAGGCACAGCTTTACCTTTGATCTCTCTCACCATGTCCCAAGGTTGTTGTTCTAAGGTAGTGTTTTCTGTTACAGGATGAAAAAGAAAGTAAAGATAAAGAGACCAAGCAGAAGGAGGTGAAGAACTCTCCTTATGGACAATGGACTACAGTTCAAACATTTGAACCGCCGCCTGAACCGTAAGCCCTCGTATTGATTTCAATCAGTCAGTTGTGCTCGAGTTATTTCATATGTTCATCCAATCTTTGAAGTTAGGAACGGACCATTATTTTTTTGAAGGAAGAGGAGGGTTGGGGTTGGCCAATTTTCTGCGCATGAATTTTTTTCTCACCTTTAGTATGTGCATGATTTTTTTTGGTGGGCAATAGTTTTTGCAAGAGTTTTTTTAACATCAAAAATCACAGTTATAGTAGAAAGCGCTGGCTCATTTTTTCCCCATGGCTTCCCGTGCACGATTTTTTATTCAGAAGTTTTTTGCCGTGCAGGGATTTTTTTGGAAATTGTCCACTCTGCCTCCCCTCCCTCAAAATATAATGGCCCGTCTCTTACGAGAGAAAATAGGATTGAAAGGGGGGAAGGGATAGCGAAAGCTTGCCTAGAAGATACAGGGCTCCTGTTTCGCATGGTTCATATGCTCCATTCCATGATATGACCTCAGGGCTCAAACGAAACTTACGATTGTCCAAGTTACAAGAAGAGAAACCTCCTGGGGCTACGGAATACAAAGCACATTCATTAGGACTTCAGAGATGCCTAGTGGGGTGGGGCGGGGTGCGAGGGAATACACTCTCCGGATGCAGGTCGGGGAACGAGAGGGTGGTTGACAGACTAAACGTTTTAAGGAAAAAAGGGTCTAGTGTTTGTAAACCACGATGGAAGCTGTGAATCGTGACTCTCGAGCGGCCTAGCGTGCAATGGTCTCACCTTTTGGGAGAAAACTAAAGCCATCTTGTCAGACGATTTTAGCGTGGGATATTGTGTATCTGTCTGTTTCGGTGTTTCATTGAGCCTTTTGTTTAAAACTTTCGTTACGATAAACTCTGCCGAGTGACGTTACTCCAACTGGGAATGTCATTAGAAATCTCATTGAGTATAGACACGTGCGTGCAATGCGGTAGGGAAGCAAAGGTTATTGCAGTTTAACTCCAACACCGTTACCTTTCTTAATTCCTTTGTTAGAATTAAGACAGAACCATCAAACGGGATCGACACTAAAGAAGTCCCGGCGTCAGAAGCTGATAAGACAGAGGCTAAATTCAAGGAACGATCCACTCCTAAAATCACCTTCCGTCCGAGTGGGGAAGGCCGTGAAGTGGCGTTCAAGAAGCGTAAACTTAACCCTGACAAGAAGAGGAACATTCGACAGACTGATCCCAATAAAGCTAGCTAATAGTTATGATCCTTGTTAGGTTTATTTAATTAGAAAACATGCAACGATACGGCGCCGAGAGGATTAACAAATATGTCAAAAAAAAAAGCAAGAACGTCTTTACATCGCTGAACTTTTTTTTTTTTCCTTTTTTGGCGTATTAGGAAACCTTTCTTGTCACCTTAGCTCCGCAGGCAGCCGTTACTTAATGGGTTCAAGACAGTACAGTATGTCTTTGGGCCCTTTCCTTATCTGATCTTCATGTACAGTGATTTCAGCGATGTGACGAGCTCTTGAGCGTAAGAGCTGTGTATACGCTTACTCTCTTTGCACACATCCTCCGCATGACCTCTTTCAATCCTCCAAAGCCCGAGCTAATTTCCCCTCTCCTTGAAACGTTTGGCCAAAGCAGTAGAGAAGACCAAGATAGCGTTCTCAGACCAAACAACAATCACCAGAGTTAAATTGGGTGACAAATAACTCATGACTGTGACTGAAATGATGGCAGAATGAATTAAAGTTATACAAACTAATCTTGTAAGACATGTATGAAGCCCAGTTCTCTCTCTCTCCCTTGCCAGTTAGTGTCACTGAGGATGTGCAGATATCTGTACAGATATGAATGTAGAATGAATATAAAGCCAGCTAAAAGGGGTTAATTAACATCCGATATCTACGTTCTAAATCATTGGACTCCACTCTAACGGAAGTGAGGCAGTGCACTGTGTATAATGAAAGGGTAATGTATTCTAGGCAACTACTAGCATTCATTATAGCCCAGGGACTGAACATAGATTTCCCTGTTTTCGATTGACGACCGAGGGGGG